CAAACTCATCAATCAATGGCTGGCTACAACTTGTTTTTGTGTGTCTTTTAAGCAAAGGTGCATCTCCAATATGTAAACAAAGAAAGTGTTGAAGAAGCACACAAAAACTTGTGTCTCCACTATGGGTGTTTATTCCTTTTGACTGTATCGAAACAAAGTTAAAAGTTCTCTTGAGCAGTGCTCGCTTGTGTATAGGCAACAAACTCCTATTTTTATTCAGTACTAGCAGTAGAGCCCGGCGTTGCCCGGGGATGTAACAGTAAGAGATAGATAAAGTATCGACCATCATAAAGACTGAAAAATAAAATTGACAAAGATTATTGTTTAAGGTTGACGGACACGCATGTCTTAATTAGTTTTTTTACGAATTGGTCAAACCCAAACTGAAACAAAAACATTGTTTTCAATCGTTATGAGTCTACCGATTGAATAGAATTTTATTATAAACAATTGTCTTGTAAATGGAATTTTTAAAGCATTCTGAATGTAAAAATAAAGAAAAAAGTGTGCAAGACAATAAGAAACACTACCTGCCAAAAAAAAAGTGAAGTTTTGTCGAAATCGGTTAAAAAAATGTAAGAAATCTGATCCCATATATAAACGAACACGCACAAACAACCTGGGTTTTATAATAAGTATAACTTGATATGAGTTGTTCCCCTTTCATTCTCGTGATGCCTCTTAATCTTGTTTTCAAATTGATTTCATGCAAAAACAATTGTGTTTTTCCAATTATTGGTGCTGTCAGAACCACCGCAAGGTAATTTTACGTAGTCCTGTGAAGTTTTGTTGAAATCGGTTGAAAAATGTAGGAAATCCGATCCAATATATAAACGTACAGACACACACACAATCTGCGTTTTATAATAAGTAAGATTATTGATAACATTCAATATAATGAGTGTTTGTTTTTCTTTATACTTGTACATTATATAATCCTTAAGCTTAATGTCAATTGCTATCTCTTCGTTAAATTACAAAAATCCTTTTATGGAACTGTGTTCTTTACAGTTCCAGTAATGCAATGTTTGGCTGATGTCCGTATGTGCATATGTCCAAGAAAAGAAACTAAATGCTGGTTAGAGAGAGCACTGTTGCTCACACAGTGTCGGCCATGTTGTCCGAGTTTAAGGTAGTGTTTATTTTTGACTCAGCATGTGTTGTGCTTAAAAAACCCTGTGTACCATATTCTTGAATGTGATAAACTGTAGACTATCATGCTTCCTGCTATTCTAGTTTAATTCTTTGCTTATTGTTCGGTTGTTAATTGTATAGAAAATATTAATAAGTTAATCATGACCTTCATGAACCTACAAAAAATATGTTCTGTGACGGTAAGTGAACTTCACCAACTCAAGTTTTCACAATTGTCTCTCTATGAAGAAGTTAGAGTTACATAAAGAGGGCATACAACACTTGATACTCAAATACTGATATTAGTCAGGAATAAACAACGACAAGAGGTATATTTTGTAGCTTTAATTCTGAATTGTACCAACAACGGAAAAGTTGAAACTCTGCAGCTGTAAAGTGAAAAATACATTGTTTTGTTTCCTGCATTTGCTGTTTGGACAAAAGACAGTTTTAGAAATATAAACAAAATGAAAGAAAAAAAAACTGAAAAACATAAGAAGTCTTTTTTTCTTTCTTTTTATGTGCCATGTCCTTTCAGGACGTAGACGATCATGGCTCTCCACCTCTTTCTATTCCTTGCAGCTCTCAACAAGTTCTTTCCCCTTGCTTCCTCCCCCAGACCATGTTCTGTCATCCACTTGCTTAAGTCCGCTAGGTATGTCACATGTTTTGTCTCTCTTTCCCTCGATTTGACCCATGAGTATCAGATTCTCCAGGCCCTCTTTCTTCATTATGTGTCCCAGAAACTTCAGCTGCCTCTTCCTGGTATTAAATATAAGCTTCCTCCTTGTTTGCAACCTAAGACTTCATCATTGCTCACATGCTCGGTCCATGATATCTTTAGCATTCTTCTGTAGAACCACATCTCTGTCGCCTTGAGTCTCTTTTTCATCTCTAAGGAAATCATCCAACATTTGATGCCATAAAGAAGGACAGATGTCACATAACAATTCAGTATTCTTTTCTTTGTTACCAAAGAAATCCTATGTAGTTTCACTGTCACTTTTAAAAACATAAATATTAAGGAGAAACTTAGTAAGGCATACAGACTTTCAATGAGCATGTAGAATCGTAATTCTACACTTCTGTGCAAACACCATCTAAAAGTGGATCACTATGAGATTTTGTTAACATCTGTGCAAACACCATCTAAAAGTGGATTACTACTATGAGATTTGGTTAAAATCTATGCAAAAGCCATCTAAAAGTGGATCACTATGAGATTTTGTTAAAATCTGTGCAAAAGCCATCTAAAAGTGGAACACTATGAGATTTTGTTAAAATCTGTGCAAAAGCCATCTAAAAGTGGATCACTATGGGATTTTGTTAAAATCTCTGCTAAAGCCATCTAAAAGTGGAACACTATGAGATTTTGTTAAAATCTGTGCAAAAGCCATCTAAAAGTGGATCACTATGAGATTTTGTTAAAATCTGTGCAAAAGCCATCTAAAAGTGGATCACAGTGATATTCTTGTACAAAACCAGCTTCACACATTTTCCAAGAATTCATTTGCTGATTGGTTCATAAACAAGCAAGTGGGTGTCGCCATCCCCCACGTACATCTATTTTTCATCTCGTGATCAAGTTAAATGTTTTGGTGCTAATTTTCTGGAACCTATCATGTGTCCACAAGAGTAAATAAATTCAGTATGCAAACTCATCACACTAGTGAGCATTGTGACCACAAACCAATTGCTAAACAAATCCACATCACTTTATCATGTGAAGTTTTTAACATAATTCAAACCTTCAGACATCACTCACTCAACTTCATATTCAACTTATCACACAGCAGAGAATTGCTTATCACTTCAAGTTCTCAATCACAGAACATTATTTCTTTTCTGAATTTGCTCAAACAATTCAACATTATTCCTTGACAAAAAAAAAACAGTCAAAGGAAGATAACTTTTACCACAATGAAATTTATTCTAAACTACATTGCACAAAACTGTTTAAATTCTACGTAAACAGATTAATACTTTCACTGACTTTGTGAACTTTTCAACACAATTTCAACATAAAATCTTTCACTTAAACTCACAAACTACATTCCAAACATCTCAAAAAGAGTTTATACAAAGATTTAAACAAACACCACACAGATTTCATTTACAAATCTGAATTCATTCCAGCATAAATCATTGTATTTTCTTATGCTATATAAATAAAAATTTGTTTGTTGTTATAAAATATTGTTTTGTGTTATTTCTCATTTGTGTTCATTGCTCTGTAATTCATTGAAGAAGCAATTAAATGTGTTGAGGATTTACGTTACTTTGAACACGCGACTGAATTCACTCTACAAATTGTAGCTAATCCGACGTACCGCTATAGACGGTGTAACCACCAATGTTGCATTGAATAATAATCCTCTACAAGCATTACATGAAGGATAAAAAGAACCGTGATATTTTATCCAAAATAATAGACTGTATTTTATTCTGTGGAAATTTTAAAACTCCCTTACATAGACATGGTAGTGGTATTGACGGCCTAAATCAACCCGTACATTTTTTTCTTTATGAATGTGAAAGCAAATGAAAAGCAACAAGAGAAACAATGCAAAAACTGTTTTTGTAACAAGAACAATATCTATATTTTATGTATATCAATGATATACATGCATAATTAATAGGAGTTACGTCCCTTTGACTGGAATTAAAGTCTTTACTAATAAATTTTTTTTATCTGAGCTCATAAAAAGTTGAATGAACTTGCCACTCAAAATGTTCAGTTAGAGTTGAAAGAATTCTGTAAAGCAGAAAATATGTTGATAAACTTTTTGCTTTGGAAGAGTTCAAGGAGTGAATGTTCCGTAAGGTTTAATTAGTTTCTGTATATGTATGTGTGCATGTGAGAATATGTTTTCATAGCATCCGACTGTAAAGCGTTGAAACGCAATTTCTTAAACAGCTACATTTTAGTAAACGGGAGAAATCAAAAATAGAAGAGAGAACGAACTTGTGTCTGGTATTTATAATCAACGTAATCATGTGATAGGCTCTGGGAAACATTTCTGATTTTTTGGTGGAAAAATGGTTTTGAATAAAGCATAGGCATTATATAGGTGAGAACATGATTTTAATATTAACTGACCAATGAGAGATGAGAAAAATATCAAAGCTCTGTGATCGACTTTTTGCACAGATTTGCACAAAAATTGACATTGATAGAAAAGTGATAGCAGAATAAGAAAGATGATTCAGTAAATACAGGAGTATTTTTGAAATAATTTTTGCAATCTACACAAATTCATGTATATCTTTTTCTTTCCATCATCTTTGTTTTTAAATATCCCACATTTTGATAACATACAATCAGCCAAGAATGGTGATATGTTGTAAGAACTTGGACATAAATTAACTGTGGTTTTCTAGACATTTTCGTCTTAATAAATTATTTTCTCTTTAAATTAGGGTAGCATTTTTTTTAATCTCAAAATTGTGGTCAGTTTTGTTACAGTGAACAACCAATGCATTTGCTTTTTCTTTTTTAAACTGTCTCTTTTGTATTCATATAGTCTTTTGTAACAAACCTGACCAGAATTTTGACAACAGAAAAGTTGGCTCTCTAGCTGTAAAGACAAAAATGTTTTGTTTCCTTTATTTGTAACATGGACAAAAGACAGTTTTAGAAATATAAACAAAATGAAAGAAAAACTGAAAAACCCGAGAAGTCAAAGAAGCAGATTAAAAATGTGGTTTCACTGTCACTTTTAGGAAATGTAAATATGGAGAAACTTAGTGAGGTATACATGGAGAAACTTAGTGAGGTATATATGTGACACCAAGTCTGAGGTGGTTAAACATTAATTCTAAGCAGAAAAATTCTATTAATTCTAAGCAGAAAAATTCTATTAATTCTAAGCAGAAATATAAACCAGAAGATAGATAGATAGATAGATAGATAGAGAGAGAGAGAGAGAGAGAGAGAGAGAGAGAGAGAGAGAGAGAGAGAGAATGGAAGACATTTTCCCTGGTAATGTAAAAATGAAAAAAAAAAGGGCCATCCCCACTAACTGGAATGAAGAACCAAGATTTTACTTTTTTTTATTTATTGAAAATCTGGCATGCGGGTAAAGCAAATTAGGAAATGGCTTTATCTCTTGGGAAATTAGAAAAACATATGTCATCGGTGAGAAGAGGGCCAGATGGCAATTATATTTTCATTGGCAAAAACGAATTGAGAAATGAAAACAGAGAATGAAACTACTGTTATGACAGGATCGATTTTTATGATACTAACCCACACAGTAGAAAGGAGGAAGGGGCAGAATTTAGCCTCATCTTTGAGGAGTAGTGGAACAAGTTGTAAGGTGAAGCAGGTTGGAGTTAAGGGAGGAGCAATCCCTGTGACTACTCCCAATGAAGGTGGAAAATTCTCCAAATTTGGAAAGTTAATTAGAAAGTAGAAATAGGGTAAAAAGAAAACATTTATTAGGATTAATGAAAATTTAGATTTACCAATTTCCCAGAACCCTTCAGACCCATGCCAATTTTGGGCCAAAGTGCATATGAAAAGACAAAACGAAGACTTGAGTAAAAAATTTGTTTGTTGCTGTCTTCTGTCATTCAATATTTGTTTGTGGGCTAATATACCACCAGCAACAAGTTTTGTAATTTTACTAAGAACACCATCTATGTTATTTTTCAAGATAAATTTCAGAAACTCAAGTAATTTGCAATATTCATGAATATAGGATCTACAATAGAATACTTTTAGTTTAGTTTCAAGCTTTCCTTTGTCAATCATGGGATATGCTTCGGTAATCAGTACTATTTCTTCTGTAGGCAGTTAATTCTTAAAACTAGTGAAGCTTTTCTTGTTGAACAATTTAGCAGCTGCCAAGTTTATTTTCGTTAAAGAAAATACATCAACAAAAATAAGATTACAGTCAAAAAATATCTCCACATGCTAGTGTAGAGGGTGAGAATGTTGTCCTGAGATGAACAGTTTTGATAGTCATTGAGATGTATTGTCATGAAAAGGACAGTTTTTGTAGTTGCTAAAGGATGTCCTGATAAGGAGTTTTGTATTTGCTGAAGTGTTGACCTTAAAAGGACAGTTTATCACATGTCGGTCCTGCTGGCAAGGATGGCTAACTAGAACTGCAGCTGATGATGGCTGGAACCACGGACCGGCTGGAACAGTGAGAAACTCTCATGGTAGGTGGCAGGGAAGTTTCTCTATAGTGGTTAAAAGAGAGCATTTTCGTTTTGGAGGCATTAAAATTTAAAAGCTATATATTTTTTTTGTTATACTTTTTTATTCATTTTTTATTTTTTTCTATAGTATTGGTACTCCGTTAGTTATGTTAATATTTTATATTAAATTATATTAAGTTAGCTCCCTTTTTTTATATAAATTATTTATTAATTGATTAATAGCTGATAACTAACCTAAAATAAAATTAATAATTAAGATTAATAATTCATAATATATACTTACCCTTTTTGGTAAGATTTGGATATATCAATTACTGGATTTAATACTGTGAGAAATACAATTAAAAAAAGTTTTTTTAAAAATATATCTGAATATAGATAGAACTTAACTGCACCAGCATTATGTTAAACTAATATATTTTCTAATTTTAAGTAACAGTGAGTAAACACACCCAGCACCTGAAGATTGCATTTGGCATGAAACTCCAAGTAGTGCAAATGGTATAGGATAATATATATATGAATAAAATAGACAATTGGAAGATATATTCTGAGAACTTTAATTAATATATATATATATTTCATACATTTTGGCAGCATGTTTTCACTGAGATGTTTCATTGAATAATTTATACAAGTTTTATCTATTTATTTTCAACTGAATCCTTTCATATTTACAAACAAGCTTTTAGGTGTCATTATTAAAGGAAGAGAGAAAATTGCTGTGTTGATACATACTATTTTATTCTGAGTACTTTCGACATAGCACAATGCCATCTTCAGGTTGTTGTTTATTTCAAGACAGATATTGTAGGGTTCATCATTTTCAAAGACAAAATTGCTGTGTTCATCTGAAAATTAAAATTTTTTTACTTGTGAAAAATGCTGAGTACATGATGACGTGATACCACTTCAGGGGAGGTAACTAAGTATGGTATGACGAGAGTTTTTAGGAAACAGGTTAAAACTATTAGTACAAACCTTGAGTATCTACTGTAAACATTTTAAAACATTCGTGCAGTATTCATAATTCATTTTTATTAAGGTTTGGTTTCAATTTTTTAATATAGATAGCTTTGAGAATTTTTAGTTTATTAAATAAAATATTGTTGGACATAGGAGAAGGTATCTTGAACGACATATGATATAATTGATGTGCACACGTATTTTATCAGTATTATAATAATAAAAAAATTAAATTATATTAATAAATAAATTGAATTCGTTTTTGTGCAGCCTCGTTCCCATCAGCCATTACACAACATCATGCTAGACCATTTGAAACGTCTAGCTTCTCAAAGAATACCAGGATGCAGACAAAGGAACTCTAACTACCGCACAGACAACACATTGCGTCTTGATAATGACTGTGAAAGTAATTGAACAAAAATAACAAAATATGAATTTCAGTTTAACCACAACTTAATCACATCGCAATACTCAACACCTTATTCAAAAAGTGGGAAAATACAAAAGATTAAACAGACAGACCTTGCCTTATATATATATATATATATATATATATAAAAGGCATGATGAAGTAGTGGATAGAGGATTGGATTGAGGAATCAGAAAGCCAAGCTCAAATTCCTGTCAAATCCATTAGCTTCACTTACATGCTAATACCCTTGGGAAAAGTATTAATTCTCTTCTTTTCCCTTCAGCTATGGATAAATAGCAGGACAGACTGGGTTCTATAGCCTTGGATGGCAACTAGTCTAGGAGAAGGACAACTCTGAAGAGGCTTGTTTGGGGACATTGTGGCAAGTAGTGCACCAAGTCTTTGTATTCGGCCCTTCAAAAAGTGTGGCTGGTCCTGCACAGTGTCTTCACCACTATGGTCAAATCATATGTGCTGGTGTCTGGGCTGTCGGTTCCTAGGAACTGAGCTGCTTGACCCTCATACGCTGAAAACGACAGGAAAGTCCATTATATATATATATATATATATATATTACTATTTTTATTTTTTTAATCAGTTCACCCCAAGCAAGGTGATAATGCCACTAAGATGCAAGGGGCTACTGCAAATGAAAGAGTATGAAAATTTTTTAGAAGGAACTGGAAACCCAATCCTAAACAGGAAACAAAAGATAACTCTCATCTCCTGTTCAAAAGATCAGATGATTATGAACTAGACATTAGGTAAACCTATCTACTCCTATAATATAATTACTATTTTTATTTTTTTTAATTAATTCCCTCCAAGCAAGGTGATAATGCCACTAAGATGCAAGGGGGCTACTGGAAATTAAAACAAATAAAAAGTCTTTAGAAGGAACTGTAAACTCAATTCTAAGCAAGAAACAAGGGGGTAAACTTCTATTCCAGTTCAAAAGACTTGGGAGAATTGTGAACCAAACTCCTACCATTGAGGAATAAAAATTCTGTTATAATTTGTGTGTAAATGCCCAAGGGCAATACTTTTGGAGCAAAAATTCATAGCTAAGTTGACTATGTGGAAAAAACAGTGTTTTGTAGTAGAAAACTTGCTTTGTTGTCTGTCTATATCTTCTGAGATGAGGTATTATGTACACTACATTATTCGAACCATTGTCCTCATCTTTATCGCATTGTCATATTTATTATGTTTCGGCTCCGGTTGGAATGTCGAACTGGACCCCTGTTCTTGTTCCATGTCAGTTATCTCCTATTAATTCCCCTCTCCAAGTTCTCCACTGCCTTAACCAGGCATTGAACTCACACTCTTTGGGTCCTGTCACTGGATCTAACTAACGCTTTTATCCACTGTACCATGTGCCCTTGAGGACATGCGTATATGAATTTCTGGGTATTATAAACATTATGTCTTCAGCAACCGTTTTTTACCAGAGCTTATATTGCAATTTTTGTTGTTGTTATCACTTTTCTCTGGCACTCCTTATTACTGGTTCCCAGTGAGCGAAATAAAGGGTTCAGTTCGACATTCCAACCACTTGAAGAAGACCGGAGCATATAATGTTGTAATAAATATGGCAACAATAATGTAAATAGTGTATCATTATTGTTGTGTCTATTTTATTTTTTGGTGTAATTGCCATAGTGATAAGAGGCATAATTTTTGGAGAAATCCTCCAATATCAATCATGAAGAGAAAAAAAAAATTACTTACCACAATTGGCTGGCTACTTGTTTCTGAGCACACCTTTCTGTTCGGGCAGTTCACCTATCCTTATTCCAAATGCCCGCTCAGTTACATTTGTAAAGTGTGTCATTCTAGTGTAATAAAGTTTTTTTTTTTACAAGTCCAGTATGCTAAAACTCTCAGTCATGATGACTTGTGATTTCTTGCTAACACAGCCATTGAAAGTCTCTGCATGGTTCTATTGAATTTCACTCACAAGGTTTGGATCAACCCAATGGTATGATTTTCAGGTTGAAAATTGTCTTGAACAGTCAGATGTCCCCCAGGATTCTATTCTTGAACCTACCTTGTTCTTAATTTTCACCAATGACCTTCCTGATGATATCAGTTCTCACCTTGGTATCTACGCTGATGACAACCAATATGACAATTGTTGTAAGTGAATGTATAATATTAGTATATATCTGTCTATATTTCTGAGATGAGGTATTATGTACACTATTTACATTATTCAAACTATTGTCTTCATCTTTGTCGCCATATTTATTACAACATTTTGGCCATTGTATACTCCAGCCTTCTTCAGAGAGTTGTAATGTCAAATTGAACCCTTTATTTTGCTCACTGGAGTAGACTGTTCTAGTTCCACATGCCATGTCTAATAGATGTCAGTTATCTCCTGTTAATTCCCCTCTCCAAGTTCTCCACCACCTTCACCAGTTATT